CTGGGAATTGTAAACAAAGGAGCCAAATTCCTTTTGAAAAGGGGCAGAAGGGAAAAGGGGCAAAGGTAAACCTCTTCAGTAACAGCTGAAATCCAGAAACCCAGAGAGCGGAAGTGGGTGCCCAAGAATTCCAGCAACCAGTTTGAAGATCTAATCACTGCACCATCCTCCCTCCCCTTCAAAGGGTTGGAATCAGAAGTTAACAGTAACAGTTAGCAATGAGAGATTGGAGACTGAGGAGTTGGGTGAAATAGGAGAAAGAGAAGAAGGAACAAGGTAGAGAAAGAAGAGGACTGGGGCATGTGATATGGAAGAAAGAGCCCGAACTATCATCAAGAGGATTTCTGCAATTTAAATAGCCCTCTAAGGTTTGCATCTTATGTGGTAGGTACCGGAAGTATTATTATTCCCATTTTACAGAAGAGAAAACTGAGGCTTATGGAGGGAATGTAACTTGCCCACAGTCACAGAGCCCACCAGATGTGGGATTAGAACCCAAGTCTTCTGAGACTCCAATTTCTCTCTACTGGATCTTACTACAGGGGTGTGTGTGATCTTGAGGACATCTCTTCCCACTTAGACTCATTTTCTTCATCTGTAAAACAAAGGGCTTGAATGGACTGACTCGTAAAGGCATTTCCATCTCCAAGAGAATGTGCAGAAGGATGAAGGAGAGGATTCAGAGAAGGGAGGGGGTGGCAGTGGTGTTAGAAAAGTGAGGGAGGCAGCGGGGAAGAGAGGCAGCTATAGCAGCAGGAACAGCTGGAATCTCCCTTGGGAGCTGTCATCTGGCCAGCCCCATTGTATTCCACAAACTAGTGTGAAGAGGGATCACACTTGCTCTGATTGACCCTGCAGGGCAGAACCAGGAACAACTGGCGAAAGAAAGGTGCAAATAGACCAGTGTAAGTTTGATGGCTGGATGGGAAGGGCCTCTGTCTTCACTAGGGGCTTTCTCATCACTGGAGTCTTCAGGTATAGACTGGATGACCAGCGAACTGGGCTTGAGCTTTCTCTCACCCACCTTTGAAAATAAAAGTCAAGATTTCCTGAGTCATTTCCATGGAGTCACTGAGAATTCAGGGGAAATCCTGACCTTTATTTCCAAAGGTCCTTCCCCTCTGCCCCCTCACTTAACTTTCCCTTACTGAAGCTTTGCTCTAAGACAGGGGGCAGGGAGGGAGGGGAACCTGCGGCCTCAAGGCCACATGTGGCCCTCTAGGTCCTCAAGTGCAGCCCTTTGACTGAATCTAAACTTCACAGAAGAAATCCCCTTCATAAAAGAATTTGTTCTATAATGCTTGGACTCAGTCGAAAGGCAGCACCCAAGGACCTAGAAGGCCACGTGTGGCCTCGAGGCCGCAGGTTCCCCATCCCTGCCACCATGTATGTTGGTGTGGGTAAGGGAGGGTGATTGCCTGAACCTTCGAATTGGCCTAGTATTCATTTATCCTGAGCCTGGGCAGAACCATTTCCCTTCAATCATAATAAAAGAGCAACTGAGAGGGGAGAATGGTGAATGGGAGGTGATGTGAAAGCTGTCCGATATTTCATCCAAGGGCCATGGAGCTGTGTGGTTATTTGACTAGCAATGTGACCTTGGACAAATCACTTCACCACACCACCCTGGAATGAACCTGATGACTGCAAAGCCTTCCACCTCTAGCTCTCTGGTCAAATGATCTCGTGAAGGTGTGACCCACATGACCATGGCAAGGGAAATGGGTCTGGCTCTGAGATCAGGGGTTTCTTCCTACTGCTTGGTGGTAGACATTTCTAAATGTAATCTCCCAAGAGCCCACTTCTCTTGCCAAGGTAAAAGTCAAATAACTATGGAGGATTAATTTTGTGTGTATTAGCGAAACAGTAGCCATTTGAAAAACATTGC